TCGAACGTATCATTCGGCTTCCGTACACTTCAGAGCAATAATTTTAGTGATAACTATTTTAATAAGTTTATTTTCGTTAATTGTTTTTGTTACCTCGTTGTTAATTGTTGTTTGTGTATTCCTTGTTATTAATTGTTTTTGGTGATTTGCCGACGATATAGTCCTTATAGCAGAATCGCTGGAGGACTTAAGCACTATGCTCAATGACCTCAATAGTGCCTCCCAACGGATAGGTCTTAAGATGAACATGGACAAAACAAAGATTATGTTTAATGTCCATGTCATACCTATGCCCGTAGTTGTTGGGAGCACTAAGTTCTAAGTTGTTGACGAGTACGTTTACCTGGGACAAATAGTCCGGCTAGGTAAGTCCAACTTCGACCGAAAGGTCAATCGACGGATTCAACTCGGCTGGGCAGCGTTCGGGAAATTACGACACATCTTCTCGTCAGGTATACCTCAAAACCTGAAAACTAAGTTGTACAACCAATGCGTGTTGCCAGTGATGACATATGGAATCGAGACGTGGTCCTTCACTGCTGGCCGTATGAGGACGCTCAAAATCTCTCAGCCAGCTATGGAGAGGGCTATGCTCGGAGTTTCTCTGCGTCATAAACTTAGAAATGAGGATATCCGCAGTAGAACCAGAGTGACCGACATAGCCCAACGGATTAGTAAGCTGAAGTGGCAATGGGCTGGTCATATAGCTCGAAGAACCGACAACCGTTGGGGAAAAAAGGTTCTCGAGTGGCAGCTTCGTACCGGTAGACGAAGTGTAGGGCGACCCCCCACTAGATGGAGTGACGACCTGGTAAAACACGCAGGAAGTCGATGGATGCAGGTGACTCAGGACCGTGCTTTATGGCATACCTTGGGGGAGGCCTATGTTCAGCAGTGGACTTGTAAAGGGCTGTAATGATGATGATGATGATGATGATGAATTGTTTATGTTATTTCTTGTTTTTAATTATTTTTGTTGTTATAATTTGAGTGTTCAGATTTTGGTCTAAATATGCAGAGAAGGAAGAATTCGGTGTTAAATAGACAATCCGACAAATTGTCTATTCAGTGTTTAGTTACATGAAAAAATTAGGTACTGCGAAAAACATCATAGACGTATATAAACAGACTGCTGAGGCGACTAATATCTCAGTAGCTACTGTACGGCGCACCGCAACACCAGATTTTATGGAAGGCATATCACCTCTTCCGTCTTCTTAATAAAATAATCAATTCTAACCACCGGGTATACATTAAATACCTTATAGTGGATAATAAAATAACGGACACGATTATCTGCAGCATTACTGTATCAAGTAAAAGTTGATGTGTTCGAGTAAACATTTTCATAAAAGTCTGCGAAAATATTCAATTACGAATTGAAATAATAAAGGTACCCGAGAGTGTACCTACCTCCCACCACAGTTTATCTGTACTCACCACTCGTGTCGGCAACTATATGGGTTTGTTAGTAGATTGTGGTGTTTATATAGTCTCCCTAACTTTTGATGGCTGTCCGACCACCTTTTCGATGTCTATAAGCTAAGCTTAGGTTGCAATTTCGATGATTTGAAAAATATTCGTATTTTCTTTGTGATAAACAGCCAAAGACATTTAACAGTACTTAGTATTTGTATTTAAATCTCTTTGTAAACAGCACATAGTTATATTTCCGGATCCAGCCCTTATACTACAACTTGTCAGAAATACACTAGGTCAGAAAAATGAATTAACAAATCTGCATGGTGGAATAATTTCATAGCATTTTATAGAATTGCTTCATAATCTGCAAGACAGGTAGGGTCTCCATCTAGCTAACCGTCTTAAAAATAAGCATATTAATTTTTCAAAACAAGTGATGAAACTTAAGTTGGCGGCACAAACATTCAGTAATTCCGTGGCAGATACAATAGAATTTTGTGACAAACAATTGAATTTACAAGAATTTACTGGTTCTAATGCTACCGTTGATTTTATAAGGAAAACTAACAACTTATTTGATATCTTCAATAGTCGGAATCGGAATATGTACGGTTTTAAAAAAAACCTATTAATAGTAAAATGGCGATAGCACACTAGAGTTTGTCAATATAATGGATATCTATACATCAGAGGGTTGCAATTAGAGGGAAAACCAATATTACAAACAAATAGTAAAGTTGGATTCATTGGTTTCTTAATATGTATACAAAGTCTTAAAAAATGTATGCTGATATTATATTGACGGGTAAACTTAATTTTTTGCCTATTTAAAAACTTAGCCAAGATCACCTGGAGTGCTTCTTCAGCTCGATACGATCAAAGTGCGGCTATAACAATAATTCAATAGCTTTTCAATTTCAAATCGCCTACAAAAGACTAGTGATACACGGGGAAATAAAAGGTATTGAGTCCGGAAACTATATACCTCTAGAGGATATAAACATTTTAACTCACATGGCAGTGAGATATGAAAAAAAATGTACTGCACTCAAGATCTCGAAAACTCGGTAAGGATTCCCTCCCTAGTAATAATTTCTTGGTCGATGATGACCTCGATTTTATCTTTAACCCCTCAAAACTGACCACCTATACTGAAGAAATTATTTAATATATCGGAGGGTTTGTAGTTTTTGTAAAAATCTATTACCGAAACTTATTTTAAAAACGATGCCAAGATGTATTTACGACGGATCATTTTGAAAGTCAATTTTTTATTGGAAACTACAAAGTTTTACTTATTAAGGCAATTTCCATGCACTATTTTGAACTGCGAATACATCACGCCACAAAAGCATTTGAACTCAAGCAAAAAATTAGGAACTTTCATACGAACCTATATATAACCTATACATATATATGTCGGAGGAAGATGAACAAGTTAATTACAATAGATTCCTTTTTGAGTTTGTTTTGTAAGGCTGTACCTATCATAAGTTTAGTATGGTAAAATGGACTTCGTTCAAAAACACGTGTTCACTTTGTCACTTTGAGTGGCCGAACTATATTGCCTAAAAATTGTTTTGTATTTACAGATGACGACTATGCTCGTCCCTCGACATCACACGAGGACGCGTGAAACGTCAGGACGGCCGTGTCGGAGGAAGTAGTTTTCATCGCGTGATATCGATTGTTCTCTAAAAAATTGCTCTGTTAAATATTTATTTTATTTGATTTGTTAGATTTTGTTATCGTATAGAATCTTATTTAATCTCATTAAAGTTACTGTATTGTACTTCATACATGTTACGACCAATCAGAGCAGAGGGTAAGCCTCGAGTGGGGCCGACGGTCGAGGCACCATTTTGACGATTACCGCACGATTAGACTTTTTTAGTGTTTGTGGATCGTGGTAAAGATTTATTCCTTTTTTGGTGTTCGTACGGTGTAGTCGTGAGATCGGTGTCGCGAACCTGCTGCTTGGACTTTGCTTACATTAAACGTTTTTAATTTAAAATAAGTGATTGCAAAGTAGTAATTCCTTTAGTGACTTTCAAAATTGTTAAAACTTTAATTAAATTGTACAAAAACAGTGTATTCAAATACTTTGTTTTGTGCTCGCATTTAATCCTAATGACGCCCACTAGACCCGTGATCACCGATGACGATATCGAGGAGAATTGTGTTTCTCCGACATCAGAAGTGGGATCGGTGCAGGCACAAAACGCGGATAGATAGATCGAGGCGAACGACGGTTTACGCGCTTTATTTGAGGCGCAGCAAAATAACATGCGACTACTTGCGGAGGCGCTACGCAACCCGCCGGCTATCGACGACAAGAATATTGGATTGCCTGAATTCCACCCCCGAAAATGCAGACACTGATGCCCGAGCCTGGCTAGCAACTGCAGACATAAGCGGGCTACATACGACATGATATCGGTGGCGATCTAGGGTGGAGTAGTGGGGATGCCTCCTAGATTTCCTCTAAATGGCCCTACATACGACACGATTTAGAGGCAATCTAAGAGGCATCCCCACTACTCTACCCTAGATCGCCACCGATATCATGTCGTATGTAGCCCGCTATGTGTTTGTCGGATCGTGATATACAGGGAAGTAAACTTATTCTTGATAACACATGGTTTCCCCAAATAGCTTTTCCTAATATAATGTGGGTAGAATTTAAAGATATTTTTCTTTTTCTTTTTGATACTTTAGAAACACGTGCAGCGACAATTTTAAAAATGTTTACTGGTAGACCGCAAGAAGGTGAATGTCTCGCTGCGTATGTAAGTCGTTTATTTACCTCACTCATGTCGCGATGAGGTAAATTAGACAAGGAAGAAATGGCAGTATCTGTAATACTCGCTCACATGGGGCAAATCGAACCAAGGTTGTAACGAAATATTTTTCTGAAAAAATAATCACCCGCAGTAAGATGCAAGGTGAACTTATGGCATTTCCATATCGTAAGCGGAGTTATCAAGATAATATAAACATCGGTGCAAATAATATGCAGGATATCAAACGTCCTAAGTTAAGTGTTGCTTTTACAATATTGTATATGTTGGATCTCCCCGCGCGCCGTCAAGTTGTGCAGACGCAGTTCATATCACTCCGCTTTAAAAATAACTAAAAACAGTCTAAAGTGCACATTTTAACGTGAAAGTGAACGAATCCATTTATAGAAGTGTAAAGTGAACTGAAAAGTGCATTAAAAGTTATTATATAACTTTTTTTCATTATAATAGTGTGTGGAATTTGGAACTAGCTACTGTTTTATCAACTAATTTGACTTTGACTTACCTACATTGATATTATTTTTTACAACGCCTATTAAAATAAAAAAGCAATACGAAACAAGCGCCTAGTTGCTTATTGTTGCAATAATACCATTGCGACCTTTAGATATTTTATTACGTAAGAATTGAAGTATCATACATAAATATTGTTACAAATTTATTTATTGTATATATATTGTTTATCAAAAAATGCCACTAAAGAGAACGACCCCAAAGACGCCTGTTTTTAATGTGAACACCTCTCAATCCCTTTGTCAATCAGAACCAAACTTAAATATGACAGATAGCACAGAAGTCGAAGTGACTTATGTTTCCCAGCGCAATAAAAGGAAAAGAGAGGAAGCAGATGAAAATTCGGTATGTCGACTTTCAAAAACGAAATACTGAGCATGTTTATGGATTTAAAAGTTACTATGAAGGAAATAAAAGAACAGAATATTAAACTGAAAGAATCGGTGGACTTTACATCAAAGAAATATGATGAAATTATTGAGAAGATGCAAAAGACGGAAGAAAACATAAAAGAAGATAAGAATTATATTCGATTATTGGAAGCTAAAATAGATCAGCTAGAACGCCAAACCCGCAACAACAGCCTGGAAATTCGAAATATACCCAAAATAGTTTAGAAACCAAAAAAGACTTGTTAAATCTCATTCTGAAAACAGGTACAGTTATTAAGACCCCAATTCAACCATCTGATATCAAAGACGTCTTTCGCACTAATTCAAAGACCACGAATAAACCGATAATTGTTGAATTTACATCAATTCTAGTCAAAGAAAGCTTAGTTAAATCAGTTAAAACCTTCAATAAGGAAAATAAGCACAACAAGCTGAACACTGAACACCTGGAAATTAAGGGGCCCAAAACTCCAATTTATATTTCGGAAAATCTCAGCACTAAAACCAGAAGATTATTCTACTTGGCTAGAGAATTTGCTACTCAAGAAAAATTTAAATTCTGCTGGACAACATATGGAAGGGTATTTCTACGTAGAGAAGAGGGCTCGCCAACAATACGTGTAGAAACGGAATCAGATTTCCTAAAATTAAAAACGCGAAAATGACTAGATTTACACTAACGATGTAATAGCTTTCTATTTTATTGCTCTTATCGAACTTACTTGTACGCTTATTCTTATTATGTAATGTTTCTCTTAGCCATAAGTAATATATACAACACAATAAAAAACATATACAGACACATAATTAATACAATAACTTACAATAAAATCACAATCACAGATAATAACTTCCTACCGAAAACCTACTCAAATACACGTAATTTTACTCACATATACACGTCTGGTAGAAAAATTATTACTTATTACAACGCAATCAAAATAATATGTCAATGTATGCCATATATGAAAGAATATTTCCAAACATCACTGAGAATAATCCTTTTTGTCAAACTGTTTCTTTTTCTATCGGTCATAAAAAAATAAAAACTTTTAATATTCAATCTTCCTAGTGAAACTGTAATTGATGAGATTGACCAAGTAAACGAGGTAAGGTGTATAAGCTTGACAAGTCCTTCCCTATGTAAAGATGTAAAAAACCATAATGATAAAAACCTATCTTCTTTTTGTGTATTATGTGTTAATATACGAAGTCTTAACTGTAATTTAGACGCTTTCCTAGTTTTTATGTCACAATTAAATCTTAATGTAGACATTGTAGTTTTCACTGAATGTTGGTTAAAAGATGATTCCATAATATCGGAAATAGATACCTACACGTCATACTATACTAAACGTTTATTTAATCGGAATGACGGTGTAGTAGCATACGTTAAAAATAATATAAGCGTCACTACATATGAACCAATAGTTGATGACGGCAATGTACTAATACTGACTATTGAAACAAACACCACGGTCATCTGTACATATAGATCACCAAGTTTTCGCAATCCAACGAAGTATATCACATCACTTGACAAAATACTAAATAGTATAAATACAAGTATCGTAGTCCTAACTGGAGATGTAAACTTAGATGTTATGCCTTGTGCTATAAAAGGGTATTCTGCAGAATATCTTAATATGCTATCTATGCATGGCTTAAAACAATGCGTTTATCTACCAACAAGGATGGAAGCGTGCTTAGATCATTTTATGGTACGAGCACAATATAGCATTACATCTATTGTTTTTGATAAATTTACTGACCATCACCCTATTTTATTACTTATTGACAGAGTAAAAATTGGTACAAACAAAACTAAATTTTATAAAGAAAAAATTGACTTTGACAAGATAGATGTAGGTATGAATGACCTTATCTGGGAAGAATATTACAGAATCGACAACGTCAATGATGCTACAGAGTACATTACAAATGTTATAAAAGATTTAATTCAAGCTAATACAATTAGAATAACTCTTTCTAAAAGAAATATGCCATTAAAACCTTGGATAACACCGGGAGTTGTAAGATCAATAAGAAAGAGGGACAAATTACATAAACAATTAAAAAAGGATAACACTAATGAAGATTTAGCGTCACACTATAGAAAATACAGAAACATATGCAATAATATAATAAAAAACTTAAAAAGACAGTATTACAAATATGAACTTCACACCACTACTGGTACTGGTACTGGAAACGAATAGAAAAACATGGAAGATAATTAAAGAAATTTGTAATCTAAGCCAATCCAAACAAATAACGACAGAATTATTAACAATTAAAGCTACTCCAAAAGCTTCACTTAATCTGGTAAACACCTATTTCACTACAATTGCTTGCAAATTGCAAGCAATTGTAGTGCTTGCAAATTATACTCTGAACACCATAGGCAAATCAGTCTCAGAACTTGCTGATAATGTCAAACAGATAGGTCCAACACATTCGATGGCGTTTTTCCTAACAGATTCTGAGGAAGTAAAAACTACCATTAACGAACTTAAATCAAATATCTCTCCTGACTGGGACAAAATTACTGTTAATTTCGTTAAAAGGTATAGTCAAATTCTTTGCGCACCTATAGCACATCTATGTAATACTAGTTTTCAAACAGGGCAATTTCCGTCATCCTTCAAACAGGCCATAGTAACACCAATATATAAATCTGGCAATAAGACCGCTCCTTCAAATTACAGGCCGATTTCATTGTTACCTACTTTTTCAAAAATAATTGAGAAGCTCGTGAATAAAAGATTGACAAAATATTTAGAGCGCTACGGATATCTAGCTGCGAATCAATTTGGTTTTAGGGCACATCGTTCAACAGAAGACGCAGTTTTACAACTGACCTCAAAAATAACATCTTATGTAGACAAAGGTGATAAATGCATATGTGTTTTCTTAGACTTGCAAAAAGCATTCGATACTGTGTCTATTCCTATACTTCTCGGACGTCTCGAAAATCTAGGTATAAGAGGTATGCCATATGCATGGTTCTGTAACTATCTTATAAACAGAACCCAAATATTACGTGTTGAAGACAAGCTAAGTGATAAAGCCGAATGTAGCTATGGTGTTCCACAAGGCAGCACTCTTGGACCAACACTATTTTTGATGTACATAAATGAATTGTGTAAAATTAACATCGATAATGCGGACCTTTTTATGTTTGCGGACGATACTGTAATCCTCTTTCATGGTACAGACTGGGATACTGTGCAACTTTGTGCTAAAATTGGATTACGTGTGGTCACGAAATGGCTGGAAAATAATCTTTTAACCGTCAATGGTACAAAAACAAAATACATCTGTTTTTATAAAACTATAATCTCAAGACCACCACATAGCTTTTCTGTCACCATGCATACGTACCCGTGTAATACGTCTCAAAGAAAGGAGAGATGTAAATGTACAATATTAGAACGAACATCTACGATAAAATACCTTGTAGTAATCCTCGACGAAAGATTAAATTGGCAACCTCATATAGCAAATGTATCTAAACGAAGTCGGAGACTCACTATAGTATTTAAGAACCTAAGAACTGTAGCGACAAAAAAACTGCTAATTGAGACATATAACGCCCTTTGTCATTGTCTCATAAATTATTGTATCTGCTCATGGGGTGGAGCTCCCAAAACGTACCTTATAGAGGCCGAGAGAGCTCAAAGATCTACATTAAAACTAATACTAAATCTTCCTTATACACAACCCAACATCTAAAGTATATGAATTGGCAAATGTCCTAAGTGTACGAAAATCGTATATATACCAATGCATAAAGCGATATCATAATATTTGTCCCATAGATGTAGACAGAAACAAAAGAACACAAAATTTTCCAGTACCATTTGTCAAAAGCGCTTTAGCAAAAAGGCAATATGACTACCAAGCTATTAATAAAAAAATTAAATTAAAGAACTTAAAACGACACCAAATTAAACAAACTATTTTAAATTGGCTAAAAGAATACGACTATGAAAACGCACACGCGCACACGCGCACGCGCGCACACGCACACGCGCACACGCACACGCGCACACGCGCACACGCACACGCGCACACGCACACGCGGACACGCACACGCGCACACGCACACGCGGACACGCACGCATGCATACACACACTTTGTTTATTTTTTTATTTTATTTTTCTTGATCTATGTTTAGAGTCTGCATTGTGCACGGAATGTAAGATAACTGAATGGGAGGGGAAACTGCCTCCTAACATACAGGGTAACCTAGTTTAGGAGTCAGGGTATCTATGAATTGTATGTATATTAATTTCAGTGTTCAATAAAGAATTATTATTATTATTATATTAATATGTTACGCTTGTTGAAAACTTGGCCATAGATCTTTTGAATGTTTCAGCCGTTCGCATGACAAACAGCAAACAACTCAGACTTCCGATCGCATCAACTCTGCCGTGGCTATAACAAGGACCTCCGTGACATGCTACAAGTGTGGTGCCGTGGGTCACGTGGCATCACGATGCTCGAAAACTTGGCCAGTTGCAAGCGGCAGCACCCAGCCTGCCGCCACATCCAGCGTAGTAAAACTAGTGGACGTATGCGGTGTGAAACCTGTCACCGGGGTGATCACTCAATTTGGTGAGCAGTTTTCGTTTTGATTTGATTCCGGCGCTGATTATTCCCTAGTTAAAAAGAGTATCTCGCTTAAACTTTCAGGTGAAATGCAACATACAACTGTTACTCTGATAGGTGTAGGAAAATCTGGCGTATTGTGTGATTTACAGGTTTTATCTCGGGTTACTCTTTGTGGTCATGACATACAAATTTTATTTCACGTTATACCTGATGATTTTCAGAGTGATATTCTGATTGGACGCGTTTTATTGGCTTTAGGGTTTTCTGTACACATATCGAGTAACAAACTTACTATAATCGAAAAGTCTTCTCTTGTTAATATTTGTGACGTAGGTAAGGCTGTAACTGACTTCGATAATGTAGATACCGACATTACAAATAATTTAAAACCGCAATTAATGAAACTTCTTGGCTGCTTTACGGACTCATTTGTCGAAGGCACGCCTACAAGTAGAGTAAAGACGGGTGAATTAGAAATTAAACTAATAGTTCCTTGCAAAATCGTGCAACGTCGGCCTTACTGCTTGAATGCTGAGGAACGGGTATTACGGGAATTATCTGCTGGGGTTATTATACCTAGTAAATTCCCATTTTCTAGTCCGATCTTGCTAGTAAAAAAAGCATGGTTCTGATAAGATGGTCGTGGGGCTATCGTGTATTGAATCGAATAACCGTCAAAACTAGATATCCTCTGCCCTTGATCAACAACTATATAGATAGGTTAGGTAATGCTCGCTGGTTTAGCTCACTGGATACGGTTTTCGGTTTCCATCAACTTACTTAGAGTTGCAGAAGAGTCGATTTATAAGACCGCATCCGTTATACCAGAGGTCCATTATTTAATATTGCAAGGTATCGTACGGTTTAGCAAACGTGCCGATTTTTTTATCAGAAAAAAAAAACGCTAACTGAAACAGGATTTTCAATAAATTTAAAGAAATGTACTTTTCTTCCTAACGAAATAGAATACCTAGGTAGGATTATAAGAGATGTTCAGGTTAGACCAAGCAATTATAAAATTGATTCATTAGTTAAATCACCGTTATTCGCGAAAACAAAGAGAAACTAGACTCTTACGTTAATAAAAAGAGGGAACCGCCTAAAGAGTTTCAAGGTAAAGAATTTGGTCCATGTGATTAAGAGCTCTCAAAGCACGTATATCTCATAGCTCGATAGCGGTTGAGAGTCCCTTATAAAGTTACTATACGAGGTCCAATTGTTAGCCGGTGCTTATGGAAAGACTAGTCAGACAGCCGCAGCATACATAGTGTTATGGAAGGGTGAATGGACACCTGAAACATGTGCTGCATTTTTTGTTTTGTTATTTTACATGCCTACTAATCCCTCATCTGTCAACAGGTCTCTGGAAAGTTGGAGTAAACAAACGCGCATATTATGTAAATGGCCTTCTGGAGCTCGATAGGCATTTCAATTTGCTATATTGCCTTATCTAACAGTTAAAACTTTGTTTGTCATAATAATGTGAGCCCATCTGAAACATAAATTGTTGCTTAAGCCCCTTGATTTGCATTATTCTCGAAATCGAAGCATAAACTTACTTTAACGGGTCACATAATTGAGGTTGTTATCGTAGAGCTTGTGGGATGAAAGAAATGTGTCAAGAGGTGTGTTATTTCTATGGATTAATGTTAAATAATATGTCTTTATGTGGGTAAAGTAAAAATTTTATCAAATAAAGGTTTGATTTTGTGATTGTAACGACGTATGTGCAATGAAATAGGAGGGAGTCGCTTACATTAATTAATTACATTAATTTCAAAACAGAATTGATATTGTGTTACGAAGGGAGCAGTCCTGATTCGTCTGTAATTTGTTAGCTTATTTTACGACTCCAAAGACGTAAGCTTTGTATATGGCTCTCATACGGGACTTTGGCGAAATTGTAAATTTGATTACACGTGCTGCGAATGCGCGAGTTCCCTCAGAAGTGGCGCGGCGGGGATGCGTTTGGTTGCGTGGGGGTGCCGTGACAATCGAGGGGCTAATCTTTCCCCCTATTCTTGAGTTAAAGTGTGAGTGTGTGTGTGTGTGTTTGAAGTATGTGACGAACAGCGTGGTGGCTGCAGAAGTTGTGTGCAAGCTATCTTAACGGCGGCGGGATAGCTGTTAAGGTTTTGTGTTAAGTGTCTAAACGGCGAGGTGGCCTTAGACGGTGCAGATATAGATTGTCTAAACGGCGAGGTGGCTTTAGACGGTGCAGATATAGATTGTCTAAACGGCGATGTGGCCTTAGACGGTGCAGATATAGATTGTCTAAACGGCGAGGTGGCCTTAGACGGTGCAGATATAGATTGTCTAAACGGCGAGGTGGCCTTAGACGGTGCAGATATAGATTGTCTAAACGGCGAGGTGGCCTTAGACGGTGCAGATATAGATTGTCTAAACGGCGAGGTGGCCTTAGACGGTGCAGATATAGTTTGTCTAAATGGCGAGGTGGCCATTTAGACGGAAACGGCGAGTTGGCTGTTTGGATGGTTTAATGTACAAATGGCGTGGAAGCTGTTGTGATATGAACGGAGCAAGTGAACAAGTTAAAATTTGATTACACGTGCTGCGAATGCGCGAGTTCCCTCAGAGGTGGCGCGGCGGGGATGCGTTTGGTCGCGTGGGGGTGCCGTGACGATCGAGGGGCTAATCTTTCCCACTATTCTTGAGCTAAAGTGTGAGTGTGTGTGTCTGTTTGAAGTATGTGACGAACAGCGTGGTGGCTGCAGAAGTTGTGTGCAAGCTATCTTAACGGCGGCGGGATAGCTGTTAAGGTTTTGTGTTAAGTGTCTAAACGCCGAGGTGGCCTTAGACGGTGCAGATATAGATTGTCTAAACGGCGAGGTGGCTTATACGGTGCGTATAGATGTAAGCGATGGTTGGGTAAAGTTGTTAACGGCGAGGTGGCCTTAGACGGTGCAGATATAGTGTAAGGCGAGGTGGCTTAGACGGTGCAGATATAGATTGTCTAAACGGCGAGGTGGCCTTAGACGGTGCAGATATAGTTTGTCTAAATGGCGAGGTGGCCATTTAGACGGAAACGGCGAATTGGCTGTTTGGATGGTTTAATGTACGAATGGCGTGGAAGCTGTTGTGATATGAACGGAGCAAGTGAACAAGTTAATTACAATAGATTCCTTTTTGGGTTTTTTTGGTAAGGCTGTACCTATCATAAGTTTAGTATGGTAAAATGGACTTCGTTCAAAAACACGTGTTCACGTTGTCGTGAGTGGCCGAACTATATTGCCTAAAAATTGTTTTGTATTTACAGATGACGATTATGCTCGTCCCTCCAAATCACACGAGGACGCGTGAAACGTCAGGACGGCCGTGTCGGCGAAAGTAGTCTGAATCAAGTTGATTGCTGGTTTTCATCGCGTGATATCGAATGTTCTCTAAAAAATTTGCTCTGTTAAATATTAATTTTATTTTATTTGATTTGTTAGATTTTGTTATTGTATAGAATCTTATTTAATTTCATTAAAGTTACTGTATTGTACTTCATACATGTTACGACCAATCAGAGCAGAGGGTAAGCCTCGACCCTCGAGTGGGGTCGAGGCGCCATTTTGACGGTTACCGCACGATTAGACATTTTTAGTGTTTGTGGATCGTGGTGAAGATTCATTCCTTTTTTGGTGTTCGTACGGTCGTAATCATTTAAATTTAAAAAAAAATACAAGATCTGGTCTGTTCCCACTAACCTCCCGTTTGGTTCATATTTTAAGGTTCCATTTTTATTGATTTTTGAATGTGCTTCTTTAGAATAAATGCAGTTTCAATAAGCACATAAAGCACGGAAAAGTTTTTCTACTCATTTTGTAATTACATAAGAAATTCCTAAAAAATCGATTTTTATGTGGTACACTTTTATATAAAACACATTATTATACATATAAAACACAATATTATACATAGTTTACAAGATAGCTCACGAAAGAGAATTTGCTCCAGGGTGTATTTTCATAATATGACTTTGCAAACGACTTTTTGTAATACATCTATATTCACATATATGACATGAATAAGGTTTTTCACCAGTGTGTTTTTTAATATGATATTGCAAACCACTTTTTGTAATGCATTTATATTCACAGATATTACAGGAGAAAGGTTTTTCTCCGGTATGTCTTCTCATATGTGTTTGCAAATGATCTTTTGTAATACATCTATATTCACAGATATGACATGAAAAGGGTTTTTCTCCAGTATGCATTTTCATATGCTTTTGCAAATGACTTTTTGTAATACATCTATATTCACATATATGACATGAATAAGGTTTTTCACCAGTGTGTATTTTAATATGGTATTGTAATAAACCTTTTGAAATGCATTTATATTCACAGATATTACACGAGAAAGGTTTTTCTCCAGTATGTATTTTCATATGTCTTTTCAAATTATTTTTTCTAATACATCTATATTCACAGATATGACAAGTAAAAGTTTTTTCTCTGGAATGTATTTTAATATGTGTTTGCAAATTACTTTTTTTAATACATCTATATTCACAGATATGACATGAATAGGGTTTTTCTCCAGTATGCATTTTCATATGCCTTTGCAAACACCGTCTTGTATTAAATCTATTTTCACAGATATTACACGAAAAAGGTTTTTCTCTGGTATGTATTTTCATATGTGTTTGCAAATTACCTTTTATAATACATATATAATCACAATTATTACAAGAATACACTTGTTTAGCGACGTGCGCTTTAAGATGTGCCAAAAAGTAACGTTTATTAAATGTTTTAAATTCACAAGTATCACAATTAAATTTTTCTATTAGTTGGAGTACTGGAGTTTGTTCAACTTGTGTCCGAACTGCAGTGGTGTCCGAGTTCTTTTGCGTCCTATGACTGTTTGAAATGTGTTTGGTGGGAATATTACACTTTTTTTTCAACATTTTCCTTTTCATAATCTTTGCAGGATGCTTTCCATTTCTGTTAATTAGTTGTTTATCTTTTTCTATTTTAGGTTTTGGTTTAATATTACGGCTTAAAAAATCGAGGTTTTCTTTACATACTTCGCTTGTGTTGCTATCAGTAGAATTTGATTTAATCTTTTTTATACATGGTTCTGGAAAATTATTTGTCGGTGTGATGTACTGTTCTGAAATACACACGAATAAAACATTTTATTAATTGTAAGACATTTCATCTTTATTTTAAGACACCATAAATGGTTAACAATTGGAGGAACCTTATGCCATTGTCTATTAGTTAACCCAGGGAGAAATTATAATATTTTACATAACTATACTAAATAATGTTATTAGATATAAATTATTTTAGCCAAAGCTCTGAAAAATGTCTCTCATATTCATTTTTGGAGGGGAGGAAAGATAGAAAAACTAAATTCATATGATAATGACGACATTCTTCCGACTGTGTTACAATTATATTAATCTAATAATCGCATGCATTTTGAACTGTATTTTTATAGATATTAAGCATATAGTTAGAATTCATCACATTTTGTCCCTTGAGTTCTGTAAGACGCACTAGAGGTTTACTAAAAAATTTTTATGGATTCCGACAGATGGTGGTATAACCACTTTGTTTACTTCAGTTGTAAAATATCCAGATCAGCGACAGGCAATATTGTCCGAGGTGCTCACGTCTGGTACTGCGATCGTTAATCCTATGTATGCCAAGTGTCAAAATGGACCCATAAAATACTTAAAAAAAGCTCTGAGGCTAGGCGTTTGCCGTAAAAAATCACAGTACTGCTCGCGTACTGCACCCGGGTTCGATTTCCGCTGGCACTCATAAAATCGTTGAACTACAATCTCAACACTACCTAGCCGTCAAATTCAGCATTTTTTTACACTAACATTATCTCTGACTAGGATTCCGACCCAACCACAAGTGCGTTTTGACCAGCTATCATCATCATCATCATTACAGCCCTTCACAAGTCCAATGCTGAACATAGGCCTCCCCCAAGTAACGCCACAAAGCACGGTCCTGAGCCACCTGCATCCATCGACTTCCTGCGTATCTTACCAGGTCGTCACTCCATCTTGTGGGGGGTCACCCTACGCTTCGCCTACCGGTACGAGGCTGCCACTCGAGTACCTTTTTTCCCCAACGGTTATCGGTTCTTCGAGCTATACGGCCGGCCCATTGCCACTTCAGCTTACTAATCCGTTGGGATATGTCGATCACTCTGGTTCTACTGCGAATATCCTCATTTCTATGTTTATCACGCAGAGAAACCCCGAACATAGCCCTCTCCATAGCTCGCTGAGCAACCTTGAGCATACGGCTAGCAGTGAAGGACCACGTCTCAGTTCCATAGGTCACTGGAGACACGCACTAGTTAATATAACGTCACCTTGTCTTACACATCTCTGCAGTTGGATAAGTTTCGTACTCTGGTTCTGGATTCGGATAGCCATCGTAGCCCTATTGTACAAACACTTCAGCACTTCGGTATACCGACAGTCAACTTGGCACCGCTGAAGGGACTGTAGCACCGTCCAAATTTCGACGGAATCTAAGGCTTTTTCATAGTCCATATACGCAAGGCAAAGTGGCAGATTGTACTCTTCGGACTTCTGTACAATTTGCCAAAGGGTATGTACGTGGTCTATGGTGCTAAAACCTTTTCGGAAACCGGCTTGTTCGGGGAGGCTGAAAGTCGTCGAGTCAGCGTGCGAGACGACCTTTATAGGACAGGGTAACAAACTAGCATACAGTCCAGCTGATGGTAAGTGGTTGCTATGGCCCATAGACATCTACATCTTTCCTCGATTACGAAAAAAAATGCAGATGCGTTGTCACCTATGAGGAACAAGATGGAAGGCCTCGTTTCCAGTAAAAAAGGTCGCCAGTTATCTACACTCACCGTACGAAATACAGCAGTATTAAGCTGCTATTTCACGCTGGTATTCTGTGAGAGCGTGATCCTTCCCCGGTAGCGCCGACCCATTCGTGCTACAACTATACTACTAATATAACTGCCTTGGGAGTAGTGCCACCATGGAGGACGGAATTAACGAGCTTCTGAAGGACCAATCTCACTCAAAATCTCAGTTATCCCGGAAACGATGCTGCCACACTCATTCTTCAGCTTTTACAGTGGAGTCTTTCTGGCAGACAGATCTCTAGCAAAGACTTTGGAGCCCTGGTTCCGCTCGATCGCTTCTAAAATACGAGCAGTATTAAAGTTGCGTAAGTCTCGCCGCATGCATTTGGAGATTGTCTGTTCAGTTGCCTATATGCTGTCAAATCTGTTGACAATGGCAGCCTCATCTCTCGTCAAACAGCCATGACATTAAGAGTGTGATCGGAGAGTTTTTGTGTTCTTCTGTGGCGGGTCTTGCAGAACTTACCACCACTGTCCACTGTATTGCAGTCTTCTAGGCACTGAAATCAGTTTTGTAATTCGAGCTGAGTTTTCGGGACCCTGGATTAGCGCACGAGGAGGATGGAGCGTTGACTTCATTAGACGAGACCTCTCAAACCTAACATTTAGGTTCAGTGTGCCTCTAACCATTCGGTGATCGCTGCCAGTTTTCACCCTCGCGATCACTGAGACATCACTGAACAGTTGGCATTGCCAGGTGGAGTCGTCGTAGGTGACAACCGAACCTCCACCGAAGATTCTTAGCACCCCTGCCCCGCCATTACCATGGTCGCCACCGTATCCAGGAATTAGTGGGGCCGCCGTGGACTGGGGGCCGGTTGTTTGTGTCGTTGCTCATGTATGCCATGTTCGACGTTTAATTTTGTTATATTGTGTAAATGTATCAGTACAGATTATAAGCCTATGATTATTGACTATGAACAAAAAGACATGTACATCCCATTAAGCATCAAAATGTCGATGCGTTGTTCTCCATGAAGACTAAGATTGAATATATCAGTAGTTATAAATAGGGTGTTTGGTTTTCTAAACTCATAATACGAAACATAGCAGAATCAAACTGCTATTTCACGCTGGTATTCCCTGAGAGCGGTCTTATTGTCCTGTCTTATCTTAAAACACCTTGTATCACTACTGTCGAATCCAGTTCCTGCATAAAACTAAATAATTGTATGTCCCACAAATAATCATTTCGCTTTTAATGTTTGTTCATGTACAATTAAAGAACAAAATTTTGTATGTACAGTACATACTCGTATCTAACTAAATGATCTAGGAGAAATTTTTCTCCTTCTTTTTCTTTTATTTTTTGATACAGGTTTATAAAAATATTTTTTTTACCTATGTCATTGTCATCCTTTTTAATAATTTTCTCTTTACTCTTTGAATCAAATGCAATTAGTGGTAAGTCGTTCTCCGAATCCGTAAGTCTATCTCCAAAAGCATCAATCTCCAAGTCGTCTGCGTTTTCAACAGTCTCTAGAATGAAACAGAATCTTACTCAATATATAAAATAAAAACTGATATATTTTCCAAGCCAAGAGATTATTACTGTCCATCACAAAGCTTATGGGCCTGAGCCACCCACTTTCATTAACATACTGCATGTTTCATAAGCTAAGTGTAATAAGCTGAAATAGCATTGGGCCAGCCATATAGCTCGAAGAACTGACAACCGATGGGGAAGAAAGGTTCTCGAAGTTGCTTACCAGTTGTAAGTATATTATTAATTCCTATAAAATTAACATCTTAGTGATATACACAGTGGCTTCATTTATACAGGGTCAAATTTTTTTTAATATAAACTTATGTAAAAAAATGTCTTAAGAATTACAGTGTTGATACATCTTGCTGATCTTTTGATTCTTTCTCCATGAACTCTTTTTACATGCACTTGTACTCGGTACATTGCACATGAAGACCTATTTAGCTTGTTTCTCCATGTCTCTGCTACTGTATCTTATTTTATTAATATAACAAATTGTGTATGTCTTACCTGTTTCATGATTACAATTTTCTTCAAATTTGGAATTCTCATTTTCGAAAACCTCTACCTCAACTTTAATGGATGCAAGATTAAAAATTCCGTCCTTACAATCATTTTCTTTATCACACTCTACTGGCCTAATATCTATATGATGAATTGGTGTGAATTGAATCTCATCTCTAGCCTCATGCGGTTTTGGTATTGACTGAAAACAAAAACTTTTTTAAATAAGAGAAAAAGCTAGAGTAGTGGTGGCGTAGGAGAATCCATACTACACCATACCATCCCGCAGTAATATACTTAAATAAGAATGTAGACAATTCTCAATCCATCCCAAAAACCAATGCTGTAAATTGACAAAGATCTATCTTTTTTTATGAGTAATATTACCTATAGATATTTCGTTTATATACAATAGGGTAATATATAACAGTATAAACAGTTAGATAATTATTATTGTGAAAATAAGTACCTAACTTGATGAAATTTGTAAAATATAAAACATAGCACCAATGAAAAAGTATAAGTTCGATTGAAGGACAAATTTAAAGCATATAAGCCAGACGGATGTAACCTAGCATCCCAACAGAGGTGACCGTGGTGGGAGCTTGGTTTCCATTCGCGGATTGTGCTTCGGCTACCCGGATCACCACCAAGCGCCAACATGATTTGTTGAGCTTCACTGTGAACCGCGCTCATGTAGAATAAAGTTGTAAAAACAGCTCCTAATTTGTCCAAATATTAAAGGTGGGCCTTGCTTTAAAAGTTTTGTGTGCAATTGAAAAAGAAAAACAAAGAGAGAAAAGAAAGTGGATGAAGTAATGGTAAAAAGAACAATTAATTCTCAGCCATTCAACCTTATTGCAGTTATTGGACATGAATGATATTTATAACTTTTTAAGAATGGACGAAAAAACTTTTTACGAGTTACTGGAAATGGTGAGACCAAGTGTAAAAAAAGACACAAATATGAGACCAGCTGTATCGGCCGCACAATGGCTGTTAGCTACTTTAAGATATCAAGCTACTGGAAGGGACTAAAGAGATCTATGTTTCACTTCAATAGTATCACATCAACTGCTGTCCGAAATAATTCTGTAAACCAGCGAGGTAATCTACAAGGTCTTAAGAAACACAATTACGGTAAATATGAATAATGTAACATTTACTAAAAAATTAACAATTCTTTTAGGAGTTCAACTGCCGCACAATGGACAATGAAAAGTGGGTAAGTGGGGTGGCTGAGTAGATGATGGATGACGGTTAAGAGGTACATAAGACAAAGGGTGAGATCGAAAGGGTTGAGGTGAATGAAAACTGGGTGAGTGAGGTGACTGAGTAGATGATGGATGACGGATAAGAGGCACATAAGATGAAGGCGGAGATCGAATGAGTTGAGAAGAATGAAAAATGGGTGAGTGAGGTGGCCGAGTATATGATGGTGAAGTGGTACAAAAGATCAAAGAGGAGATTGAATGGACCAATCAGAATGAATAGCGGGTGGGTGGGGTAGATAATGATAATGGAGTGTTAATGTTTAACGAGCGTTGTAAGACAAAGGGGTCAGTGGCGAAGCTAGGGCTTCAAACTAGGGCAAGCCCAAGATATGGTTTTGTTGTTTTTAGCAGTTTAATAAAAATACACCAATCTTGAGCTGTCTCCACTCTTTAGTTTCATATTCAGTGCTGACAAGGACGTGTTTAACAAAGCACACAGAAAGCATACTACCGCTAGATAGATTGTATGACATAATATGCAATTGCACACCTTCGGTGGTTTTGAAAAGAGCCGTTTGGGTTTGCTTGAGATATTTACAAACAATACAATACATGAACAAAGTACAAACAAACTATGTACAAAGTTAAAAAAGGGACGACTGGCAGATGTGAAACCTCGAAATTATATTTTGTTTAAGTTATATGCATAAAAGAACAGTTTACGACAGGAATTAGATAGTTATAATGAGAAGATAAAGCTTTGCTAATTTTTTACCATAAAATAATGACTATTTATTATAATTATAATTATTCATTTTCAATTCATAATAAACCGTACACAATGATATTTTTAAACTCATATATCACTATAAATTACCCGATAGCGTATTTGTGCCATCTAGCGTAATCTTTAGGTACCATCGTGAGAATCAACCAATTTTCGTTCGATAAAATGACTTTACATATAGAATTAAGTACATGGCGGCATTAAAATTTTATATACTAAAAAGTAGACAGAGAAACCTAACTGGAAATAACTAAAGGGAGTACTATTCTTTAAAAACCTCAATACATTCTTTTGCATTCTTTTGATTTATTTAATTAAAATTTGGGCTTCACATTAAAAAAAAGATAGTAACACTTATTTCCTCTAAAATTAAACCTAGGTCTCATACTTTATGCTGCTGTTCAAATTGATATTTTTAATTTGTATGGTAATATTAATATTGAGTTATTAAATCTTTAAATATGCCTAACTTAATTAAACTTTAATACTAAAGAGTCCTGTACCTATATTTAAAGTATGAAGAAATGTTTATTGAATATTAAATTTCATTTTTAAAGGTTTTTACCTTTTCTTCACCGATTAGCACTTCAACACACTTATATTCATCACAATGAATCCTCCCATTTTCACTGAAAATCTTCGAAAAAGCATAATTTTTTAACAAACACAACAAAAACAAACATAAATATTGAAATGTGAAGTGAACTTGCATACAAGGGGCCCGCAACCACTTCGCTAGTCGCTGACGCACTCCTAAACAACTTCATGGCAAAGCCAGGCTTGTTGGCTCAAAAGTAATTGCTATATAAACATTTCATAGTTATATCTTAATATATATAAATTACGTGTTATGTTGTTTGTCCACGATGGACTCCTAAATTACTTAACCAATTTTAATCAAATTTGCATACCGTATGCAGTTTGGTCCAACTTGAGAGATAGAATAGTTTTTTTGCCCATATTTTTTTTGCTAAAACAAGGATATTTAATAGGATATGACAAATTGTCGTCGAAAAGGGCAGAACAATGTCTGCCTGGCAAGCTAGTTTCACTATAGAATATTTTGCCATAGGTTAGAAAGAGAGCGATCGTCTTCTCGAAAGCCCCGTAAAAAGCCCACGCAAGTGAAGGAGACAACTAATCGCTCTATTAAAACTCACTTTATGACAGCAGCAGTATCGCCATAAAGAGTACCTTTGTATAAACGTATCGCTAAGGCAATACGAGGTCATCGGTCGACATGTGTCGAACAGTGGACTGCGCGGGAAAATTGAAATAATTTGAAACAGTTTAGGAGTTATTTTATTAGTTGATATTATTGATTGATTCAGTTTTAATAAGGCAAGCCCAGCTTTTAGGCTTTAATGGAAGCTTCGCCACTGAAAGGGGTAGATTGAATTTGATAAGAGGAAACAGATGGGATGCTGGATTACATCCATCTGGAACATGCTTAACTTTGCAGTAGAAAAAACATTCTCCCATATGACAATGGTATGCAGCATAGAAGGGGCGAGAGAGATAGTGATCATCAATGTGCCTGCCAAATGATAAGCTTTCTATTCATTATACGGGATTGACCCACAATGCAGTGAACTTCTATTAACAAGAAGAACCATGGACCAATAATATTGGCTGTGTAAGAATATCCACTATCCTATATACCTATTCCAGGGACGGGTGTCATAAGTGGCAACAGAAGGAAATAAACAGGAGTTGGGAAGCAGCATCTTTCCGATAACAACTCAGATTAATAGAAACTGCAGATGCCAACCTATCAAGCGTGGCAAATTTAGCAAAATCTATGTGGGGGGCCTATGTTCAGCAGTGGAATTTTAAAGGTTTTAATAGATGGAATAGATAATACCATGGACGCTCCTGCAAGCATCTGCTCCAGAAGTGCATTTGATTCAATAGCTTGCTGTTGTAATCTTCTGCAACGAATGAGTCTTGCATGACAGTTGAAGCAGACAATTATGAGTTGCTTATCCTCATCCATCTGAAAATATGAAAGTTCATAACAAATATTGAAAATACTTATATATTTAAGTTTGTAATAACATTCCCAATTCTATTCATCAACATCATTTTTTATAATATTGAAATGACAAACAAACTTACAATCCACCTGATGGTAATTGGTTACAGCAGACCATGAGCACTTGCAACAAACTTCAAGCAAAGGCTACAGATGTGATGTGACCTCTGAGGACTAAGATGTCAATGCTTCAAAGCCTGTTATTATACTGGCTCTCAATGTCCATACTGATTTTAATGACAATACTGATTTTAGTGCGACCCAGGATTCCAGGCTAATTGTAGTTTTTGTCAGATAGTTCTGATTGTATTCGTCACTATATTTAATGCTGCACCTTAGCCTAGCCCCGATCTATCGCATTTTATATCAGGCAAGTTACAACAAATTACGGATTCACACTTCAACTTGCAATATTTACAGAAATATTAAAAACTTACAAAACTGTTCGTCAATGTTTTATATAAATTTCGAAGGCAAGTCTTCTGTAGTATAAACATGCGTACATTAACACATAAACAAATTCTACAAATTGCACTAAAGGCCATTCCTGTTTCTTATAGCTTTAATTTGAGGAGTACTGGGAAATGGGAATGAAAGTACTGGCACAGTAAATCAGTAAATAGTAAATAAAAATGAATAAAATAGGTACTATTTTTACTTATAATAAATTTTAACATTTTTTTATTTACTTAACTGGCTTTACGGCTCTGGGTTCTAGTCCTTCTGAGCCTATCATTTCTTTTAGAATTTACATTTTAATTTTTTCTTCAAAATATGCTGATGCGTCATTGCAAAGTTTTAGGGAGATTTTGACGTACAGCTCAACTCAGCGGACTATTGATGACGAAAATCACTCAAGTTATAAGGCACCCAAGCGATCAAATTTACTTGAGGATTATATCAACATTAAAGCACATGTTTCATTGTTTTCTCTAAGAGTTCACACGCGCAGACACTTAATCCACAAAATTACATCACTGTTACGAATTAAAATCCACTTCAAACCATTATTAACCAAAACAGGAAATACAGTTCGTCGGCGGCCAAGTTCCCGCCAAAATTCCAATTACAACAGGAACTATGCTATGGAGTGTAGAGTAGAGGTAAAGATTACAAACAAACCATAGATTTATGGTACAAACTCTGTATAAAAAAGTGTCCGTAGGAAAGCGTTAAATAAGGGTGGCGCCACTGTAGCTACAGTCTAAATCTTTAAGAACTTTTTATAATTTTTTACTGCAGAGGCTTTCACCATAATTCTTTTTACAATAATTATTTTATTACTTTCAAAATTTTTATTTTCAAAATCACTATCAACGTATTTTACGGCGATTTAATATACCCCGTAGCTACTCGAGCGCTGTAGTGGAGAGTTTTTGAACTATTATTTACTGCTTACAGATGTACACTTTCAATCATTCTCCTACGGCAGTTGGTACTCCTTTCTTCTACACTCCATAACAGGAACTTTAAAGATCACAATCACAGAACACTATTACTCCTTACGATCACAATGAATCGTCGCAAGACAAAACGACTAATTTGTGATAGGCCTGATAGGGATGTTAAAAATAATCGATTTTTAGTAAATCGATAATATAAATTACGTGTTTAAATCGATTTTCAGAAACAGCTCGTATATATGCGTTGGATGAAAAATCTTGAATTAAGTTCATACGTATAAGTTGATTAAATAAAAACGGCGCCATATGTAGGCATGTATGTATGAGTGTAAAGCTGGAAAGTAGTTTAGTTTCAGTGTAGTGGTGAGTGAGATAAAGTTGTTGCCGTTTGTTGGTAAACAATAAAAATGTCTTCTAACCATAAAACACCTAAAAGCAGCCGTCGAAAGTATTTTATAACGAAGAAGGATAATACCACAGCAATATACAATTGCTGTTCAAAAGAATTAAAAACTTGACATCATCAACTTGAAATATCCCTAGGGACTAGGCATGTCGACCTGAGATCGATTACTCGAAGAATCAATTTCTTGTGCTAAAAAGATCGATTTTTTTAATGGATGTTTAGTACTTAATCGATCCACTGGATCGATATTTCACCCTAGAAAATCGATATCGAATCTTTTTCTGTTTTCATAAGAACTATAAAATTATTTACAATTTGTTGAATGTACCCAAACTCGTAAAGAATGACAGTTTTTTTTTATTCAAAAACTAGCTAAACTGCTGTGTGATCAGTTTCTGTTGCCTCTTCTTACTGGTTAAAGAAATAAAAAATAAGTTACGTCTGTAATCTGTACTTTGTACGAATCTGAAAGCAAATCGAAAAAGATCGATTTTTGAGAAATCGATCTTTTAGACCTCGATAATTTGTTTTAATGGATTCATCAGATTTCGATTTGAATCGATTTAAAAATGGATGTTTTTCGGTAAGAATCGACATCCCTAATTTTATAGTGTAGATAGTCCAATAAATAGATATGTGTACCTCTACACTCCATATAGATATGAATTTCAGGTAAACAAAAAATACCCTGTGGATATGAATATGTAGCAAGCTACTACAGACTATACTAAGGAATGCAAATGCAGTTTAGATAGGTGAAGGACCACGTCCAACCACGTCTCAGGTCCTATGTCATCAATCATCATTGACAACATGCACCGTTTCTAACTCTTCGTCTTCACATAATATGTATGAAGATAGTTAGAGAATAATCGTTAAATAGCCACATAAAATACTTTTTGAAATTATTTTTCTCGTGACTGCCTTTAAAAATTGTAAAAAAAAAACCAACATTAATTTGTCCTATTATTATCATTAGTATAAAACCAATGAAAAAATTAAGAAATGACCTACCTTCTTAAATACTTTGTTCTTGTAAATGAAAATTGTCACAGCTGTCCTTTTATAATATACTAATACCTGGATATTCTATAAATATAGTTGATAAATATTATTTACAATCAATAAAAGAATGTTTTATACATAATATATTATTTTAGTTAAAAAACGTATCTAGTTTTTTATCGTCATATGAAATACCCCTTGTATCTGGTCCATATCCAGTTTGCTCACCGTGAGCGAGGGGTCATTGAACCTTATTTGGGGTGACATGACTTCATACACCCCTTGGCAAAATTGCGTCAGTAAATAAAATATCCTTTGCGAGCGAGTTTTTGTATATTATCTCTTTCATTCTGATTAAAGTTTATGTTTAAAAAAATGTTTTTGATAAATATATGTTTTTTTGGTACGTTACGATTAAAATATTTGTTGTTCTGAGAGACATCTTAGGATATTGTGATAAGTACTATATACATATTTTGCTTCATTTATTTTATAAAATGTACTTATAAAAGAAAAAGAATACCTAGGTTAAACACTGATCTGTGTTTATAGTTTCAAGTCTAGCCCATCGGGAAGTTATACACCGTACACCCGCGAACCTGGGCGGTTCTCACCGGCCAGAACATCGACCAACATGGGCTGAGCAGTCAGAGCCGAGGGTCCGCACTTCCCCACTTGTACAGCGGTTAGATAGCTCAAAAACGACCAAAGAGGCGACATGAGTGGTAACAATACCAAATCATAAACCATCATCATCCTCATCCTCATCTTCATTGTCTTTCCCTTTTTAATCAGATCAGATTCAGATGAAGCTGTAAAAGACTCATAGGTTAACAACACTTACATTTCAGAAAATAACTCGGGAAGTTAGAAGGTAAAAGTAAAAAAAAAGTTACAGCCTATATAAAGTCCCACTGCTGGGCACAGGCCTCCCCGCATTTCTGAGAGGATTTTAGGGCAAGGAAGTGTCCGCCGCGCTGGGATATGCGTGTTGGCGAACTTCACATGTCTTCGAAATATTTTTTTCTTATTCCTCAGACATTCAGGTTTCCTTACGACGTTTTCCTTCACTGCCGAGCACGTGGTAAATCAGCACTTAAAATTGCAATTAACAATTTCATTGGTGGCGGCGGGGATCGAACCTGGGTTACTCGCGTTCCGTTATATTTACAGCGAGCTTACTCGCCGAACCGTGGTAGCTCAGATGGTTAACGCTCGCTGTAAATATAACAGTTAGAAGGTAGTGCAACGTTCTGACTCTTTATACCCTACTCCCTACTACCTCTGAATACAGTTGACACCCCAGTCCCCATGGCTAGGTAATAAATAATCCTCCTCCACACTGAATTACTGTGCCCAGCAGTGGGACGAATATAAGCTGTGCTGTGCTGTTCTGACACTGCTTTTGGCAGCAGACAGGTAAGAGGGTGGTACCCAGACAGATTTCTAGGCAGATTAGGAGTCCAATAAACTGAATTTAATTTCTTAATAAGGTAAGATATAGGTGTCTATGAGCTAAAGAATCCACTGGCCAAGAGGTGGACTGTGTGTTTGTTTGTAAAAAAGAAAATAAGTAAATTTTTCATTACACCTATAAGTAATAAGCGATCCGCCCGGCTTCGCACGGGTGATTTCTGGATCTCGACAACAGCACCACCTAGCGGGTCCAAATGTCAACCCAAACTATCCAAGAACCCACTCAAATTCACACAAAAAATGAGACTGACGCACGACAATTGATTTTTATATACCTACTGGTGATCTGCCTCGGCTTCGCACGGGTGATTTCCAGATCTTGACAGCAGCGACACCTAGCGGGTCCAAATGTCAACCCAAACTATCCAAAAACCCACTCAAATTCACAAAAAAAAATTCATGAGCCATTTTCGAGTTTTTGCGAGACTGAAGCACGACAATTGATTTTTATGTACCTACTAGTAATCTGCCCCGGCTTCGCACGGGTGATTTCCAGATCTTGACAACAGCGCCACCTAGCAGGTCCACATGTCAACCCAAACTATCCAAGAACCCACTCAAATTCACACAAGAAATTCATGAGCCATTTTCGAGTTTTTGCGAGACTGACGCACGACAATTGATTTTTATATACCTACTAGTAATCTGCCCCGGCTTCGCACGGGTGATTTCCAGATCTTGACAACAACGACACCTACCGGGTCCAGTTGTGAATCTAAACCATCCATCCACTCGAACACACAAAAACTTACATCAAAATCGGTCGAGCTATTTTACGAGTTTTAGCGAGACACAAGGACAGTCATTGATTTTTATATATAAATATATAGATTGATAACTTAGTAAAATTTTTAGAGACTTGCAAACCCATGAACTTTATTACAATAAACATACAAAAACACGCCATTATAATTGTAAGAAAGTCTTTTACATAATTCGTCGTCATTCCCTTATATACCAACAACCCTAGAAAACTCGGTTGCTTATTCGAGCATCACGCAATTTACGCGCTCTGAACAAATTTTAATGAATTTTATTCGTTCGAACCTTTATCCTTGAACACTAAAACCATAAATTACATTTAGTCACGAATCACGACTACAATCAGTGGAAAAAAACATACTTTTATATCCTATATAATAAAGACTATGTATCAATTTGGTTGTTGTTATAGAATATACATCGTAAGTTTATGATTGTTGTTTTCTAAACGTCGAGGTGTTAGAATAACCTCTACCCCCCACAAACACGGGTTGTGTTTGTCGTCAGAGGCGATAGAGCGAAACAAATCAGGAGATGGGCAGCAGCATCTTCCTAATGACAACTAAAAATAAAACAATGCGGTTGTCAACCCGACTACCAAAAGTGGCAACTATGGCAAATATTCCCCCATGAGACAATCTATGGGGAAGGCCTTTGTTCAGCAGTAAACTTTAGTAGGCTGTAACGGTAAAGGAGCAAACCGGATTCAATCCCCGCCGGCACCAATGAAATTGTAAATGCAACTTTAAGTGCTGATTCATCACGTGCTCGGCGGTGAAGGAAAACATCGTGAGGAAACCTGCATGTCTGAGATATATATATTTCTTACTGGTAGAGAGTGGTAGAGTCATGCTCCAGCTATTACGGTTGTAGCACGAATGAATCGGTTCTACCGGGGAAGGACCACGCTCTCGCAGAATACCAGCGTATTTTACGCAGCTCAATGCTGCTGTGTTTCGTATGGTAAGTGTAGAGATCCGGAGACCCTTTTTTACTGGAATCGAGGCATTCCATCTTCGCCCTCAGGGGTGACAATGCATCTATCTGCGTTTTGATTCTTAATCGTGGATAAATGTAGATGTCTATGGGCCACAACATCCACTTACCATCAGGAGGACTATGTGTGTAAATGTAAAAAATTTTAACTTTTTGTGCTAGAATTGGCGAGTACGAAGGATGACATAATATGGTTTCTAACTGCAGGTCTTGTAATGTTAAGTCGTTTTGCTGAGCAGTGCGAGGTTTTACTTATTTTATCAAAGAGCAATAAGTTCGAATATCTATTGACGATTAGGGGTTATTTCTCTGAGAGTTTCACCATCATTGTTTAAAGTTCTTCTCAATAAATATCTGCTTTATATCGATTGATGAACCGAAACTCAAAAAAAGTAAATTAAATTTACAGCCTATATACGTCCCACTGCTGGGCACAGGCCTCCTCTCATTTATGAGAGGGTATTAGGGCAAGGAAGTGTCCGCCACGCTGCCCCAATGCGTGTTGGCGAACTTCACATGTCTTCGAATTTTTTTTCTTATTTCTCAGACATGCAGGTTTCCTCACGATGTTTTCCTTCACCGCCGAGCACGTGGTAAATCAGCACTTAAAATTGCAATTAACAGTTTCATTGGTGCCGGCGGGGATCGAACCCGGTTTGCTCGCGTTCTGTGAAATTTACAACGAGCGCTAACCATCTGAGCTACCACGGCTCATGAAACTCAAAAAGCTTTAGACTCTAGTCCTGTTTAAACTTCAGAAGATACAGATTTGCCCCTTTACCACTAAAAAGATCCCTATTTTCGTATCTCCTCAATTTCAGGGCACTCCCCCATGCTGACTCAGCCAGCATCGGAATCCTCGGCATCGACATATCGAATGACGTTCAGTTCCCTAGTCACTTGGAAGGAAAAGCTAAATTGGCATCTTAAAAGCTTGTCCTACTCAGCAGAGCAGAACAGTATTAGGTACATGCCAGCCCACCGTTTACAACTTTACAAGTCGCAAGTTCGCCTTGACATTGGTCCAGCCCCGGATCTAGGGGGGGAGCAAACCGGGGCACCGGCCCCGGGTGGCAGTTTTAGGGGGCGCCAAAATTATATTATAATTCGAATTTAAGAAATAGCTTGCTCCACAAGACGTGTAGTATCCAACGCACGTTGCTCTATCAATTTTTCACTTGATGTTAAAACGCCCAGTTGGTTTTTGAACACATCCTAAGGGTTCATTTCGAAATGTGTTGCCAGCAGCAGCGCAGTAAATTGTCAGCAACATTTAACGGCGGAAATTTTAATTTAAATGATTACGATCGTACTTTCAAATACCACCTAGACCCCGTAAAAAGGACATGTATCCTGTTTATCGAATACGAAATGAAATTATTGGTAATATATTAAACAAAGTTCAAAATACCATTACCAATGTCATCAAGGAAGCCAACTATTTCACCATCATGTTTGACTGCACTCCAGGTGTCATCTTACACGGAACAAATGAGTTAGGTTGATTTAATTTATAAAAATATTGAAATCTGGACGTTAAACAAAGGAAAGTTTTATTGATTTTTTTGAAGTTGATGGAAAGACTGGAGAATAAATTACACAGCGAATTCTAGAGAGACTAGAAGCTGACGGTTTAGATGTGCAAAAATGTCGTAGATAATCTTACGATAATGGATCTAGGAGTCCAATCTAGAGTTTCGCAAATAAACGAGCTGGTAAAATTTGTACCATGTCTAGCATACTATTAAATCCAGTTAGCCTATTTGGGCTCGTACATAAACTTTATTATTTCTTTGTTGGATCCACCACATGGTAGAAAAAATGCAAAAGTGTACATAAACAAACTTAAAAGGAAGTAATCAAACCTGAGGGTTGGCTAAACACCAGGCTGTTACTGATCTATTAATTTACCGGAAACTGTCAACGTTCTGGAAGAAATTGAAAAATCTTGTCCAGTCGCAGAATCCAAGTATGAAACTGGTTTTCACAACATGCGGTGATGCATTTTAAATTTATCCTCTACTTAACATTTT